GATGACCACTTGCCATCATATCACGTCAAAACCTCTAACCTCGTACATAATAAACATGTACAGGAATATAGAAGGGAAAAGAAAAAAAAAATTTATTCCAAAGAGATATTTATCAGTGACATAGCAACAGATGATTCAACTTATGGAAATTGCTCAGTAGGGTGCATGAAAAATGAAAATTGAACTACCTGCTCTGAAGTTGCGTAAGCACCGTAATGACTCTCTTTCTGAGACAATGCATTCAATCCAGCAAAGAAAGATTGGACCTGAAAACCACCAACCAATAGAAGAATAGGGGAAGAAAATGAATAAAAACCATGTGCAAAAAAACTACTACTAAAAAAAAAACAGCCACCAGAAAATTGCCAACAATAAAAGGAGCCGAACAACAGAAGCTGGGCATACTCAATACCTTCTCAACTATAGATGTGAGCTTGAAGGTTAGGTACATCCCAGTCATTAATGATGAAAAGAGGCTCCCATATTCTTTGTTCAAGAAGAAACGATACCAAACTGGTGCTGGCAACAAGGCACGGTATAGCAGAAGCAGATACTCCAGGAAAGTTAGCATTTGACCCTGTAAAATGATCCATAATAATAAATATAAAAAATTTAATATCGGCAATAAAATGAGCCTAAATAAATGTTAAAACGACCATTGTGCATTATACGAACCTAAATGAATTTTCTAAATGCACGAGTCAACATGAACTCACCTGTTTACGGTAATTTCGCCCTCTGTTATTTTTGTAGTACATTAGTAGAATACACTTGAGAACCATTGCTGCCTGTTGAACCAAAGTATGTGAAACAAACCAACAATAAGAATTCTCACAAGGCACTGAGAAATTAAAAAACCATTTTTAAAAGTATATCACAATTGGACAAAGCCCTGGAAAATATGAACAATACAAAATTAAAAAATCTCAACTTTGAACAAGGAGTTTTACACTTAACTAAAGCAAAATAGATGCTGAGCTTGGAACATGCTTAACTATATAAGGCCAAAAAGCCTACACTGACAAATAGATTGTTTAATGCCTAATGACCCACAAAATTTAGAAGCAGAATAGATGCTGAGCTTGAAACATGCTTAACTAAGGAAAGAAAAGCGCTCCAAACATTTTCCCTTCATAAAAGACAAAATACGTTGCTGAGATTTAGGAGGAAACACGAGAAAGAAATCACTTTGCAGCAGGTGCTGAACATAACCTGATCTAGAAGAAAGCAACATGTTTTTATACGTATTATTATAAAGTCAATAAACACTATACCAGCTAAACTTTAACACTTTCTCATGACTTTCCCAGCCTCACACAAAACCTTAGAAAATGGTAAGGATGTAAATATTAAAATAATAATAATAATTACCAAAAAAAAATGTATTAAAAAACACTTATCAGAAAAAATTATTCTAATAAATCATAATATACTATGCGTCAGTTAAAAACAACAGCCAAAAAAAAAAAAACAGCAGTCAACATAATGACTAAGTGACAAGACACACCATTCACCATAATGATGAAGATAGCATGCCAAAAAGGTGGTATAGCTTTTGGAGGAACCATGATCAATGGATACAGAATATCATCATTCCAATACCACCAGTGCACAACAATCACATGAAGCCCAAACACGAAAGAGATGCCAATGAGAATAGGTATTTTCCTCTCCCCCTGCAGAGAGTAACACTTCATATGCTTAAAAATCAAATTTTTAGGATATTAAAAATGATAGTAACCGTATGAAGCACGGACACCTCTCCGAGGGCTCCGTACCAGTGTCGAACACGTGTCGGACACAGACACGCGGTGGACACGTGTCCGACACGCAGCAGAGAGTGTCCTCTTTTTTTCTTTTTCTTTTTTTTTACATCCGGACACGTTCGAGACACGTTATAGACACGTTCAAGACACGTTCGGGGGTAATTTCACAATTTACTAAATTTTTTTGGGGTCAATTTGTAAATAAGTAAAAACAGACCAAAATTTGTCCTAATCTACTTCGAATAGAAGAGAAATAGCAGAGAAAGGGTGAGAAAGAGAGGACCTGACTTCGTCGTTCATCGTTCGTCATTCGTCTTCTCTTCTCGTCGATCATCGCTTCTCGTTGGTCGTCTCTCGATAGTCGTCAGTCGTGTCTCGCCCTTCGTCATTAAGGTACACCTCTTCTTCTTCGATCTTTGATCTTTGATCTTCGATCTTTATTCTTCTTCAATTGGCCTCAGTCGCTCTCTCTCTCTCTCTCTCTCTCAGCCTCTGTCTTATTTCCTCAGTCGATCTTCGCCCTTCTTTTATTCCCATCTTTTATTCTGATTTTAATTAATTTTTTTTCTTTTATTCTAATTTTATTTTATTTTTTCTTTTCTTTTATTTTTCTTTTATATTCTAATTTTATTTTTTCTTTTCTATTATTTGAGTATATAATTTTAATAATGTATGTTTATATATGATGTTAAAGCAATTAAATGCTTATTTTTTATAATTTTAATAGTGTTATTTTGTATATTTTATTACCTTTTAATGATTTTTTTTAATTTTACGACATATAATAAATAAAATTAATTATATATATTGAACGTATCCCCAGCGTGTCGTGTCCCACATTTTTTGAAAATTTGCATTTTCGCGTGTCCGTGTCGCTACATCAACAAACAAAATCCTAAACAACATTCATAATAGAGAAGAACATTTACAACACCTTCAGAGCTGTCTGCTTTCGTAAAATATCATTTGACTTAAACATCACGACAGCAATCCAAATTGTAACAAAAAAACCTGCACCCTGGGAACATTTCAATTGTCAATGATTTTAAATATGGTTACAAGAAATGAAAACCAACAAGAAGTTAAAGCCTCAATGGCCACAACAAAGAACCTACTCAACTAAAAATTCTAAAACGCATAACTTCAGGTGAGCCCCGAAGCTAAAGAGAGATATGCATATCAACAAAAGAATAACTAGATTGTCCACATGTAACCTCCCCTCCAAAGTTGAGCCGTGCTGGCCAAGACAAGCAAAAAGATTCAAACTATTGATGGTTCCTAGGAAGAGTTACTGTTCCGGGAATCCGAAATAGGCATTCTTGTATTTTGTTAAAGGATTAAATAACTTGGTGTTGGAATACTATATGACTGCTTAGGAAAAGTAAATGAGAGTTAAAGGGCATTAAAGTATAAAAGGGCAGTACCTTTAGCATATTGTAATAAGAATTTCAAAATTGTTGGATTTATCTCTTGACATTTGAATTACAAACTTTCAAAACTTTTCCAGATTTTTGTTTAGAAATCTAGATTCCACACTGATCGGAGATCTAGCAATCATTACTTGCAAGTTGCAACCAAAAGTGTACATTTCTCTATTTTGATCGCTTCAAAAATAGCACCATCACCTTGGGTGCCGCCAGCACTAAGGCAAGGTCCACCTAAGCATATGTCTAAAAAGAAAAAGAAAAAGATAGGCAGGCAAAGACATATGCTAAGGTGGGCCTTGCCTTAGTGCTGGTGGCACCCAAGATGATGGTGGTATTTTTGAAGCGATCAAAATAGAGAAAAGTACACTTTTGGTTGCAACTTGCTAGTAATGATTGCGAGATCTCCGATCACTGTGGAATCTAGATTTCTAAACAAAAATCTGGAAAAAGTTTTGAAAGTTTGTAATTCAAATGTCATGAGATAAATTCAACAATTTTGAAATTCTTATTACAATATGCTAAAGGTACTACCCTTTAACTCTCATTTACTTTCCCTAAGCAGTCATTTAGTATACTACATAAATATATATATACATATATATACATACACATATACACTTAGATCTGAAACAGAAATTCCTAGATCTAGTTAAGAGAGAGAGAGAGAGAGAGAGAGAGAGAGATTGAACCTTCATTTTCTTTCCCATTTGTGGAATCATTCAGAATCAGCAAAAAAGTACAAAAACTAATATAGATACTACATAAAGGAAGCATTTGATGCTACATACAACTACGAGGAAGGATATCAGTTCCCACTTAGCATAATTCTTTTGTTTAGGTGACAAAGAGGAACTACAAGTCTACCTCTGTGAGCAGCAGTCGTTGACGTCGTGTGTGTGTGAGAGAGAGAGAACAGCGGCGGTGAAGGAGGAGAGAGAACAGCGGCGGTGAGAGTAAGAATGAGAACAGCGGCAAGGACCTCTCTCTTCTTTCAACCAAACCCTAAACATAAACATATATATAAATAGGTGGTATACATGTAATTTTACATCGGGGCTAGTTGGGGCGGGGACCGGGGCTCGAAAATCATCGGGGATTGGAAGTGAGATCATGGAGTGGTTGGAATCTAATTCTCAAGCCTATAGTCAGCAGTTATTAATCACCATATATCTAACTAACCTAATATTAAATGGCAAAATTAACAAAGGTCGAGATGTACAGCTAGAAGGCCTCCCTAGATAAAGCCAGAGACAATTTTCTCATTAATAAAACCCTAGGTAAAGGAAGGGAAACTTTAAAGTTGAAAATTGAATGATATCAACCAAGCACTGCCCTGATTCTGGCAATATGAAGTACATCTACATTTTTGTACAAAGGTGGCCAATACTTTCCTCACACAGCTCTACAATATGCCACAAAAACTAAAAACTAAACTGAGCAAAATGAATACGACAAACAAGCACCATTCTTATCATGTAAAATCATTCCCTGTGTCATGTTTCTCATCTCTCAGTCCATCACCATTCTTATCATGTAAAGTCATACCCCGTGTCAAACTCATGTTTCTCATTTCTCCATCCATCACAGTAGGCACAAAACTCAAATTTTTTATGTAACAACATTGCAAAACATCCAAACCATCATTGAAGCTCTTTGGTATGAGAATATAATACATTTAATGCATTGCAAGGCAACAAAACATTTATTGGAAAGGTTTCATTTACGGCAACTGGACAGTGTGGTACATATATTGTTGGACCTCAAAGCGACGGCCCCAATTACATACACAACTCTTTTTAATAGAGCATATGACACTAACTTCCAGCGGTGGCCCAAGAAGTGGGCTGGGCCGGATTTGGTCAGATTTTACCTTTGATGTTGACATGATAAGGAGATGGCTGCTTTGAGCAAGGGTTTTAAGCTTCAAAGCAGAAAAATCTCCCCGGACAAGACAGTACTCGATGTTTTCAGAATAACTGGAAAAACAGACTAGTCGATCCATCACCGAATGATCTGAGATCTGCAGGTTTCACCAAAGCTCTGCATATTGGGCATGTTCTTTCCTTCTCGAACCTGGAAACACAAGACACTTTTTTATCCCATACAAAAATTGTAAGTAGAAAATTCATGTTTTGATAGATTTAGTGAAGCCGTTAATGGCACTCTGAAATCACAATCAAATTCCATCTATTTAATAGAACTTTGCTTTGAACGAACATAATACACCACAAGGTCATAATGATAGCATTATTGTAATTCAACATGAAAATGATACCAAATAGCCTATGGTGATTGCTACAATTAAATCGCTAGAATAAAACAAAGCCCGTGAACAACTTATCTCTAATGGCACTCTATTTTGTACATGTTGATTATCGAGCTATGTCACCTACGTGTATGTAAGACCAGGGGTGAGAATTTCTGATGCTGTAATGCAACTAAGTTTTGTATTCAATCTGTTTCATAGCATTTTTTTTTATAGGAACCTTTAAAGCTAGATAGCATTCAATTACTAATAACAGACACACCATACACATTGAGCAAACTCTCTCAACTCCAACATATACAACAGGGGTCAACTACGATGCCTAGGCATTCAACTTCCACACCTTTCGGGTGTGTTTGAATCGAAGATTTGAGGAGGGATTTGTGAAGGGAAAGGAAAAGAAAAGGGAAAAGACTTTCATTCACTTTTCCCTTCCTTTTTCCCTTTTCCTTTTTCCCTTCCTTTTTCCTTTCCATGACAAATCCCCCTCCCCAAATCCTTGATCCAAACACACCCTTAATGCTACACTCAGAAATTCTGCATCATACATTTTCTAGTGATAGACTTCGAGCACATTTATTAGAGCCCCAAAATACTATATTACTGTTACTCTTCCAATTTTCAAGTCCAAGAGGGGTTGGGCGACTAGTTAAGCAATCCACCAAACAGGTTCTCTACCTACTTGCTTCTTGTTTGGAGAGGTGGATATTTTACCGTATTTTATCAAAAGAACACAAAATGCTATAAATGGAAAGCAATCAAAGAGCACAACCACCAAAAATTCATTAAATAGTAACAATTTGAAGTATATGAATGCTCCGCTGAACAAAATACACCGAAGCACACAAAAAACAAGCTAAACAGAGGATAGAAAACTAACCATTCCGATACACAGTCTTCACAAAATATGTGTTTAAAACGTAACAAGATTGGAGCATGCATCCTTTCCTGGCAGATAGCACACAAATCACCCGCTGCACTAACCTGCATTAGATCGCATCAAGGTGAATAAGTTAATAACTTTCCCTTAAATAGTAAATATTCTGGAAGAATCCACTCAAAGCAATTATTAACAAGCACGAGGTCAAAACACTACAAAGCAAATCAAAAAGGCATCATAAATGGAGAGCACATAGTGAGGAGTTGTTATTCACATTTTTTTCTCAAACACATCACTGTGAACAAAGACTATCATCAATTACCAATGGAACGAATCCAAACATCTTCATTAATTGAATTCATCATAAATATATATGTATATATATTAGTATATAATATATATCTATATATATTATCAGAAAAAGAAAATAGAAAAAAAAAATCGGAGAGAGAGAGAGAGAGGGGGATCAACATCACTCAATATATAAAAGGAAAAAAAAAACAAATAAAATCAAACTGAAAGGGAGAGAGAGAGAGATCGGAGAAGAAGTACGAAGAAGAAGAAGATCGAAGAACGAAGAAGAGCATTGTACCTTAACGAGTGACGACGAGACGAGCTACGACGAGCGACGACCGACGAGAACCGTCGACAAGTGACGAGCGACAACGATCGACGAGCTACGGACGACGAGCGACGAGCTATGAGTTACGAGATACGACGAGCGACCACTGAAAAGTGACCAAGTTCTCTCTTTCTCTCCCTTTCTCTTCTATTCTAATCGAATGAGGCAAACATTGCTCTATTTTTGTTTTTTTACAAATCGTCGCCAAAAACAGTTTTGTAAATTATGAAATTACCTCTGAACGTGTCCCAAAGTGTCCAAACGTGTCCAGAACGTGTCCGGATGTAAAAAAATTAAAAAAATTGGACACCCTATGCTACGTGTCGGACACGTGTCCACTGCGTGTCCGACGCGTAACCGTGTCCGACACTGGTACGGAGGCCTCAGAGAGGTGTCCGTGCTTCATAGCCTGACACCCATACCCAACTTCCAAGTCCATGTGACATGTAGAAGACCATCAAGTATATCAAGTAGACACGTGTCCACTGCATGTCCGACGCGTGACCGTGTCCGACGCGTGACCGTGTCCGACACTGGTACGGAGGCCTCAGAGAGGTGTCCGTGCTTCATAGCCTGACACCCATACCCAACTTCCAAGTCCATGTGACATGTAGAAGACCATCAAGTATATCAAGTAGAGGGGAAGAAATGAAGGACTGAATGTGCTGGTATGACATGTGATCAAAGTGTATCATATAAAAGAGGAGACTCTTTTAAGATAAAAGAGTGTAACTAAGTAGAGGATGTCAAGACAGATGTGTAAATGAGACAAGAATGTAAAGCACCAACCAATGACAAGGAACTAGTCACATAAAAAGTGAAAGTAATCCACATCACCAACAGGGAACGTGGTCATTCAACACAGTCTCGACAAAAACAAGGCTAAGAAGAATGGGTTGGAGTTGTGAGAACAGACCCTATCAGTCGTGATTCGTGAGTAATGTAGAAGCCTTCATTAACAAAAGATTCATTAGCGATATTTTAGTCACACTGTATACAACTCAGTGGCATGAAATTCTGGTTCGAAGGGGCTGGTTAGAGACAAACCAAACAATATTTAAAACCCTAGTGAGCGGTAGGACGTAGGCAACCGTACCCCCACTTTTTGACAGAGTGGCTAATTCTCATGAGTCAAACCACACACAAAATTTAGAAGCAGAATAAATTGTTTTGTTCAATCGCTTAAACACATGTGTCTATCAGTTAGATACGTGTGAAACTAATTATAAGTTTGAACAAAACAATTTAAGATGCAATAATAACACAAAACCCATATAAATTTATAGGAATTAGTGTCATATTTCATTTTTTATTATCTTTGAATGATATATTTATATATATAACATATAACAAATATATAAAATTATATATTTCATGCGTGTCTCCCAGGTGTCGTGTCCTACATTTTTTGAGAATTAACGTATCGGCGTGTCCGTGTCGTATCTGTGTCGTGTCGTATCCGTGTCGTGTCTGTGCTTCTTATACCTGACACCCACACCCAACTTCCAAGCCCACGTAACATGTAGTAGACCATCAAGGATCAAGTAGAGGGGAAGAAATGAAGGACTGAATGTGCTGGTATGACATGTTATCAAAGTGAGACAAATAAAGAGGAGACTCTTTTAAGATAGAAGAGTAACTAAGTAGAGCATGTTAAGGCAGATGAGTAAATGACACAAGAATGTAAAGCACCAACCAATGACAAGGAACTAGTCACATAAAAAGTGAAAATAATCCACATCACCAATAGGGAATGTGGTCATTCAACACACAGTCTCTAGAAAAACAAGGCTAAGAAGAATGGGTTGGAGTTGTGAGAACAGACCCTATCAGTCGTGATTCGTGAGTAATGTGGATGCCTTCATTAGCAAAATATTCATTAGTGATATTTTAGTCACACTGTATACAACTAAGTGGCACGAAATTCTGGTTCGAAGGGGCTCGTTAGAGACAAACCAAACAACATTTAAAACCCAAGTGAGCAGTAGCAGGTAGGCAACCGTACCCCCATTTTTTGACGAAGTGGCTAATTATCATGAGTCAAACCATGCACAAAATTTAGAAGCAGAATAAATTGTTTTGTTCAATCGCTTAAACACACGTGCCTATCAATTAGATACATGTGAAACTAGTTATAAGTTTGAACAAAATAATTTAAGATACAATAATAAAACAACACTCATATAAATTTATAGGAAATAGTGTTATATTGCATTTTTTCTTATCTTGGAATGATATATTTATATATATAACATATAATAAATATATAAAATTATATATTTCATGTGTGTCTCCCAGGTGTCGTGTCCGACATTTTTTGAGAATTAACGTGTCGGCATGTCTGTGTCGTGTCGTGTGTCCGTGTCCCTGCTTCTTATACCTGACACCCATACCCAACTTCCAAGTCCACGTAACATGTAGTAGACCATGAAGGATCAAGAAGAGGGGAAGAAATGAAGGACTAAATGTGCTGGTATGACATGTGATCAAAGTGAGACAAATAAAGAGGAGACTCTTTTAAGATAGAAGAGTAACTAAGTAGAGGATGTTAAGGTAGATGAGTAAATGAGACAAGAATGTAAAGCACCAACGAATGACAAGGAACTAGTCACATAAAAAGTGAAAGTAATCCACATCACAGACAGGGAATGTGGTCATTCAACACACAGTCTCTACAAAAACAAGGCTAAGAAGAATGGGTTGGAGTTGTGAGAACAGACCCTATTAGTCGTGATTCGTGAGTAATGTAGAAGACTTCATTAACAAAAGATTCATTAGTGATATTTTAGTCACACTGTATACAACTCAGTGGCATGAAATTCTTGTTTGAACGGGCTGGTTAGAGACAAACCAAACAATGTTTAAAACCCTAGTGAGAGATAGCAGGTAGGCAACTGTACCCCCACTTTTTGACGGAGTGGCTAATTCTCATGAGTCAAACCATGCCATAGTGGTGGGGCAGATGACCATTTGCCATCACATCACGTCAAAACCTCTAACCTAATACATAATAAACATGTACAGGAATATAGAAGGGAAAAGAAAAAAAAAATATATTCCAAAGTGATATTTATCAGTGACATAGCAACACGTGATTCAACTTATGGAAATTGCTCAGTAGGGTGCATGAAAAATGAAAATTGAACTACCTGCTTTGAAGTTGCGTAAGCACCACAATGACTCTCTTTCCGAGACAATGCATTCAATGCAGCAAAGAAAGATTGGACCTGAAAACCACCAACCAATAGAAGAATAGGGGAAGAAAATGAATAAAAACCATGTACAAAAAAACTACTACTAAAAAAAAAACAGCCACCAGAAAATTGCCAACAATGAAAGGAGCCGAACAACAGAAGCTGGGCATACTCAATACCTTCTCAACCATAGATGTGAGCTTGAAGGTTAGGTACATCCCAGTCATTAATGATGAAAAGAGGCTCCCATATTCTTTGTTCAAGAAGAAACGATACCAGACTGGTACTGGCAACAAGGCACGGTATAGCAGAAGCAGATACTCCACCAAAGTTAGCATTTGACCTTGTAAAATGATCCATAATAATAAATATAAAAAATTTATTATCGGCAATAAAATGAACCTAAATAAATGTTAAAACGACCATTGGGCATTATACGAACCTAAATGAATTTTCTAAATGCACGAGTCAACATGAACTCACATGTCTATGGTAATTTCGCCCTCTGCTGTTTTTGTAGTACATTAGTAGAATACACTTGAGAACCATTGCTGCCTGCCGAACCAAAATATCTGAAACAAACCAACAATAAGAATTCTCACAAGGCACTGAGAAATTAAAAAACCATTTTTAAAAGTATATCACAATTGGACAAAGCCTTGGAAAATATGAACAGTACAAAATTAAAAATTCTCAACTTTGAACAAGGAGTTTCACACTTAACTAAAGCAGAATAGATGCTGAGCTCGAAACATGCTTAGCTATATAAGGCCAAAAAGCCTACACTGACAAATAGATTGTTTGATGCCTAATGACCCACAAAATTTAGAAGCAGAATAGATGCTGAGCTTGAAACATGCTTAACTAAAGTAGAATAGATGCTGAGCTTGAAACATGCTTAACTAAGGAAAGAAAAGCGCTCCAAACATTTTCCCTTCATAAAAGACAAAATACGTTGCAGAGATTTAGGAGGAAACACGAGAAAGAAATCACTTTGCAGCAGGTGCTGAACATAACCTGATCTAGAAGAAAGCAACATGCTTTTATACGTATTATTATGAAATCAATAAGCACTATACCAGCTAAACTTTAACACTTTCTCAGGACTTTCCCAACCTCACACAAAACCTTAGAAAAGTGTAAGGATGTAAATATTAAAATAATAATAATAATTACCAAAAAAAATGTATTAAAAAACACTTATCAGAAAAAATTATTCTAATAAATCATAATATACTATGCGTCAGTTAAAAACAACAGCCAAAAAAAAAAAAAAAACAGCAGTCAACATAATGACTAGGTGACAAGACACACCATTCACCATAATGATGATGATAGCATGCCAAAAAGGTGGTATAACTTTTGGAGGAACCATGATCAATGGATACAGAATTTCATCATTCCAATACCACCAGTACACAACAATCACATGAAGCCCAAACACGAAAGAGATGCCAATGAGAATAGGTATTTTCTTCTCCCCCTGCAGAGAGAAACACTTCATATGCTTAATAATAAAATTTTTAGGATATTAAAAATGACAGTAACCCTATGAAGCATGGACACCTCTCCGAGGGCTCCGTACCAGTGTCGGACACGCAGCAGAGAGTGTCCTCCTTTTTTTTTTTTAACATCCGGACACGTTCAGGACACGTTATAGACACGTTCAGGACACGTTCGGGGGTAATTTCACAATTTACTAAATTTTTTTGGGGTCAATTTATAAATAAGTAAAAACATAATAGAATTTTCCCTAATCTACTTTGAATAGAAGCGAAACAGCAGAGAAAGGGTGAGAAACAGAGGACCTGACTTCGTCGTTCGTCGTTCGTCTTCTCTTCTCATCGATCATCGCTCCCCATCGGTCATCTCTCGATAGTCGTCAGTCGTGTCTCGCCTTTCGTCGTTAAGCTACACCTCTTCTTTGTCGATCTTCAATCTTTATTTTTCTTCAATTTCCCTCAGTCGCTCTCTCTCTCTCTCTCTCTCAGCCTCTGTCTTATTTCCTCAGTCGATCTTCGCCCTTCTTTTATTCCCTTCTTTTATTCTGATTTTATTTTTTCTTTTATTCTGATTTTATTTTATTTTTCTTTTATATTCTAATTTTATTTTTTCTTTTCTATTATTTGAGTATAGAATTTTCATAATGTATGTTTATATATGATGTTAAATCAATTAAACGTTTATTTTTTAAAATTTTAATAGTGTTATTTTGTATATTTTATTACCTTTTAATGATTTTTTTATAATTTTATGACATATAGTAAATAAAATTAATTATATATATTGAACGTGTCCCCAGCGTGTCGTGTCCCCCATTTTTTGAAAATTTGCGTTTTCGCGAGTCCGTGTCGTGTCTCGTGCCCCTGTCCGTGCTTCATAGCAGTAACCATTATAACTACATCAACAAACAAAATCCTAAACAGCATTCATAATAGAGAAGAACGTTTACAGCACCCTCAGAGCTGTCTGCTTTCGTAAAATATCATTTGACTTAAACATCATGACAGAAATCCAAATTGTAACAAAAAAACCTGCACCCTTTGAACATTTCAATTGTCAATGACTTTTGTAAATCAAAGTACAAAACATGCAGCGGATAAAATGTTTAGATCATACCTCTTTGATGATAGAACCTCGTGGATAAATCACGTGCTTCCAGAATCTAAT